GTTGTGGCTTAATGTGACAATGATGTCATAAGAAACACTTTAACAATAGTTACAGTTATAGAAATGTACTTTAACATCACTTAAAATGCTTACAGGGGGATTGAGGTTGTTAAGTAGATATTGAAATATAAAAAGACTTTATTGGTGTCGTATAAACAGGAAGTTCTCTACTGAGCCCCTTAGCTGATCTAAGTCTGCCTCACGGTCACCTGATCAGAATCTAACATCTTACGTTCAGCAGGAACCCGTCATAGACCTTTGAGACCTCTATTAGGTTCACAGAGGAGTTCTGTTATTTCTGAAATGTTTAGCTGGAGGAGAACAAGAGGGAAGCAAAGCTAGTGTTCATGTTCTCGCTGGTTTCTTCAGAGGAGTGCATCTGTACGGTCGAAAGCTGTTTATTTGGAAAAGCGATGACGCAACATCCTGTTAATCTGGAGCCTCAGATTTTCTCTCCTGGGAAGCTTTTTGAACCGGGACCAGATCTTCATGGTGTTTGGATTCAGACCCCATTAACCCATTAAAACTAACTCTAAATGAGCTCTAACAGCCTGTCAGGGAACACTGAACCTCGTCTGTTGTGGATCTGCATGTGGAACTCAACATCGACATTCCTATTTACTCATTCTCCCACTTTAAATACGTATTGAAGGGCATTGTGCAGCACAGCAGAGTGTTTCAGTGTCCGGTGCTTTACTGTTAGCATCCTGTTAGCGCTGAGCTTTAGATCTCTGCTCCAAACAGCAGAGCTAACACCGGCAGACGGCTAGTTTCTGTCAGTTTAAAGAGGTGCTGACGGTCATTTCTCATTAACGTCTTCCTGGAGAGACTGTCTGGTGATGACGACATTTTAAACGGTACCGTGGTTCACGCCGCTTTACGACTTGAAAGAAAATAAGAGCAACTTATGGCAACAAGAAGGGGAAACTCAGCAGATAGACTGTTTGCTTTAGTCTGTTTATTTTTTTATACATATTTTAGTTATTAGCTTATGTTTTATTTTATTGTTACGGTTGGAGAGTTAAGTGGCAGCTCAACACGTGTTCAGAGTAACTAATAAAAAGTCTGTTAGTGTTTGTTACAATATTACTCCAGGACCTTAGTACCAGTAAGTATCACTCAAACACACACAAGTCCATCATGAAGCTCTTTGAAATGGTTCCATGTATTTCTGTCTCACTGTGTTCTGTTCTATGAAAAGAGACTGCTCCGATGTTTAGGTCAAACAAACAGGTTTCCCTCCGTGTCGTTATTTTCTGGCCTTTTAAAAAAGTTGAGACACCAACCTCACTGTGTACATTATATGTATATATTAATGTACAATGTAGTACAAGTATGTGTTTGATTTGTGTACTTTGTGAGTCTGTTACATCGTGTTCAACGCAAACCAAAAGATTCTAATTTAAGTTACAATTTGGACAAATGTGAAGGAAAAAAGGAGGAAGTTGTTCTTTTATGTTTTTGTCTAAAACAAAATGTAAAATGTGTGAAATTAATGTGTTCATGACGGGAACTACAGCCGATGGATTCAACCACAAAGACGTCTCCATATATAACAGAACAATTCATGGTCTATTTATTGTCTTTTATTTGATCTTTTTGTTGAGTTGCTGATTTGACTCGCCGGTTACTTTGGAGGTTTAAAACGTGTTAAACTTCTGTGAAAAAGTGTCAATTGAAACGTGTTGAGCTATAAAGACATTATGAAGTCTTTATGAATCACGAGGTCTGCATCAAACATTCACGAGGAATGTTTATAAACTTCAAGAGCGAACACATCAAACTTAAACCACGTAAATACAGATCACCTTTTCTGCCTTCTTGTGAACATTCGGGTGTTTTCTTCCTTTTTGTCTAAATGTTTCTACGCGATAAGTGTAAAATATTCACAACATGAAGAAACTGTAGAAACCCCGAAACATTTGATGAATAAAGAAAAGCATGTTAGAGACAAAAATTGTTGGTTTTTACTTTTATTTAAGATGTTTCCTGATTTAAACAACCCCTCTTACTCTACTTCTACTCTGTTATGCCCAAATATGTTAAAATGGAGAAAAAAATAAAAACTGATTTTTATTTTTATTTTTTTCACAGCTTACAACCGCAGAAAAAAGCAGAAATCATCACTTTGTTTATTTAGGCACATTTCTTTTATGTCTAACATCATTTTTGCATTTTCTAGATGCAAAATGTGTTTATAATCAGTAAAAAGAAAGAGTTCTTCTGTCATCACGACCAATGTAATGTCAACAAATGTAAAGGACCCGGCCTCGATCAAACATCACCGACTCGCTGTTTGAAATCAAACCGACTTCACGCAACAGTTGACGATCTGAGCAACCTTTTGTGGCCTCAATAAATGACCATCGAGTCCAAATTCAGCGAAGTGATAATTAGCTGCTGGTGTTTCTGTTATTTTGTCCACCTGTGTGACGTCGACTCACTGTGCTCTGACATTCCTCCACACAAATAAACTCCACCTTCTCACAACGCTCTGCTGAAGTCTCTCTAATCGATGACGACGTCATCTCATCCTGAACAAAACACGTTTCTATGGTTACTGCGTTCATATGTGTGTATCATTGTTATAGAAGAACAGGAAGTGATGTCACAATCTGTGATCATCTTTGATTCATTTAACTGACTTCTTATTGTGCTGCACCAGTATTATCAGCTTTATGAAGTAAAAGTACACATAGAGCAGTAAAATGTATCCTGTGACTGAAATACATATACAGTATATGTATTTATATATTAGATAGTTGATAGTGAAGCATCGTTGTTGTTGCTGTTGTAGCTGCTAAAGGTGGAGACACGTTAACTACTTCTCATACAGTCAAAGTTTAGTCCAGAGGGGCCCAGCATAGGGGTCGGGCCCCCTCCACAGGGTCACAGATAAATCTGAGGGGTCCCGACGTGATTAAAGGAGAGAAGAAGAAGAAGAAACTAAGTTTAGAGACACGGCTTTTTGTAAGATTTAACAATGGTTTTATATTCAACAATTTCAAAGTTTATTATAATTATTTGTTTATGTAAAGTAACCAGTAACTTTAGCTGTCACATAAACGTAGCAGTGTAAAAAGTACAATATCTGCATCTGTGGTGCCGTGGAGAAGAAGTATGAGTATAAAGAACTGCTGATTTGTTTTTTTAAGAATTACTTTTAGATTAAAAACAAATGTCTCTGAAAGGACACTGACATGTCGACTCTGGAGTTTCTGCTGATTCAATCGGGAGTTAAACTGAACAAAGTTTACAGGCAAGAACCTAAATAGAATGAGTAGTATTTCAATAACACATATTACAATAATAACATTAAATAATAAGGTTTAAAAACTAAAATTCACATTGTTTACTCAATGAAGTTTAAAGTTTAACTTTTGCTAAAGTTTAACTCAAACTGACAGAAAACCTTTATCTGATCTGTAAATATTAACATTACCTGAAATAAACTGAGCCAATGAAAACGGATGGTTTAGTGTTGAGAGGAGCTAAACATAAAAATACGAACGAGACAGAAAGAGAAAAACATATCCAACTAAATCAATTTATTATCACATCTCAATCACATAACATTGAAATAATTAAGCACTGTTTCCAGTATAACCAAGCATATTCACTCCCACATCTGATATTGACATCTTCATACCCAAATTTAAATGTGATTGTTTATGTCTTTTATAGTATTCAAGGTAGAATTGGGCCACAAAAAGCATTAAAGAAAACAAGTTCAGTTATGTGTGATTAATGTGTTTTTCTTTTTAGGGTGATTGGTTTTTGGTCTCAGCCAAATCCTTGAACTCCGTCTCTCTCCAACTGTATTCACCACTGAGCGCTCAACGACTTCTAAGAACATTTAAACAAGCTGAACATCACAATTGGCAGCTTTAACCCACTAAAGCTCATCAAACGATCTTCAATCATAAATCTTTAGCGTGAAATCAGAATGATTCTAAATATTAAACATTTATTCTAAATACTAAACAGATCATGAATAAAAGAAAGTTAGTTAAGAAGCAATTTTCCATATACAATATTCTCGTTATGTAGACATGACATTAAGGCGAGTATGGTTCTTAGCCAAATAAAAAAACATTTTGCCATAATTTGATTTGTTTAATCTAGCACCATCAGCTGGTCAAGTGTCAACCTTAATGTGAGTGATAACAAGTCATGATGACTATTGTATGATAACTTGCTTAATGTTAGCCATCATAACAATAAAATGAAATGTACACATAATTGTAATCATGTCGACATACAAATGGCTCATCTGTACTTTTGAGTTATTTTTCATCGAGTCAACTTTAGTTGTGGTTTGTATTGTTATAACAACCTCACAGTGCTGCTAACATGTCTGCAGACCGGCAGACCATGTCATGTTTTCCCTAAAGTCCAAAGAAACTTGTAAATTTCTTGAGCAAACCCTTCTTTTCCTCCCTCTCCTGTTTTTCTTCAGACAATTCCTCCTCCGTTTTTGTAAGTTTACGTCGTTTGGCTACTTTGGAGATGATTTTTGCTTTGTCCTTCATTGCCATCAAAGACTGAATTCGAGCCTTGTAACCCTCTTTGGCCTCTGACTTCTCTCCTTCAATCAGCATGTCGATGTACTCCGGAGTGGTCAGCGGGTTAGGCCTCAGGGCGATCTCCTGCAGACGAGTTATAGAGTGCGCTGACTGATCCGCGAGGGAGACTATCATGTCTTGAAGCTGAACGATCTCTTCCTCCTGCCTCTCAATCAATTCCTGAACAGTCATCTTTTCTTCTGTTGCTTTTTTATACTTGTCTTTTATCTCTTGCAGTGTTTGCTTCTCTTTTACTTGAACATAATCCTACTTGTATGTCTGGTTGAAATGCAAATTCCAAATGCATTTTCCAGGGCAGACAGTGCACATCCCGAACTGATCCATTGATGCACATTGACGTTTTTCGCTATCATCAGCGATCCCGCATGGGTAGTGGCATGTTACTGAACATTCCTGGCAGTTGGTAATGTACTCTCATTTCTTTGTGAGTACTTTTTTGATTGGCTTAATAACCTCCACCTCAATCTCAAAGTTTTCATTTGAAGTCATGACCGTTTCATGGTCTTTAATCTTTTCTTTAGTTGACTTGATTTCTTCAAGTTTTGCTAATCCAGCTTCAACTTGCGGTTGCAAACCTTCAACGGCTGTTTCAAGGTGCTTCCGTTCTTTGAGAACCTCTTGGGTCATTACCAGGCTTTTGGTTGTCATTTTATCCAAAGCAGTGAAGAACGTCTCCATGCTTTTGGCACCCATCTTCCAAAACATTTCGTCAAAGTTGTCATCAGAATCCTCATCGCAGTCCCCGTCACTGCTGCTTCTCTTGCCTGCAAACACTGCAGAGTTGTTGAACTTGAAGTGAACTGGAAGCCCTATGTCGTTTTTTGGACGTGGAACCCGAGCGATGTTAATTGCCTCAAGAACCGGTGGCTGCTTGCCATCCGCAAAAGTCACCAGCATCTCAATGTTCTCTGCCACATCTTTGCCAAATATGGAGAGCACCGAATCAAACACATACCGCTGTGTTGCGGTTAGTCGTGCAAGAGAGGCCTGAGTCACAAAACACACTGCATCAATCTCACTAACTCCATTAGCGGAGGTGAAAATCCTCCTGATTTGCTCTGTGATCTCCCGGTCTCTCCCTATTCCTCTTGTATCCCCAAACCCTGGTGTGTCCACAACAGTCAGAGAGAAAGGGATTTTAAATCCCTCCTGGTGGTTGATTTTGTACACAGTGACTTCAGAGGTCTGGCTTTCAGCTTGTGATCTAGACTGATCCTCATCAACTAATTGAAATCTGAAAGAGTCCTTCCACTCCACACCAACATTGTAGTTGATCATTCCATTGATCAGAGTAGACTTTCCTGATCCGGTCGCTCCAAGAAGCATTATTGTGCGATTTTCCCTCATGCTTTCTTTGCCAAAGTTAAATTTCCGGTACCCATCTATGTCCATATCTTCTTGTGTCAGAAGAGGCAGTTTGTAAACTGAGGGAGATTTAGAATTTATACTCTTGCTAATATGTTTCAGGTATTCTGCAAGACGTGCAAATTCACTTTTTGTTGTGCAGACATTAATAATGATGCTTTCTTTGCTTCTGTCGGCTACACCACAATCACATCTGACCCTGACAGCATATTTTGACTGAATTCCTGAAATGATCGCCTTTTCAGCCGTTGAAATCATTTGGTTCCATTGGAGATCTTCCTCTTTCCCCCCGTTGTCTGTTTCGGCGTACTCCACGATGTAGCTCAAAATGTGGACATCTTGTCCAAGTTCAGCAGGTTTCTCCCAGCTGACTGATATCTCACTTGAGTTTGGTTCAACTCGAGGTTTTCCAGGAGGGCTGCAAGGTAAGGTTTTAATGGAACCACTGACTTCATAGGCTGGCCCAACACCTGCTGAGGTCACTGCTCTGCATCTGAACACATACTTTGTGTTAGCTCACTGTGACTTCTTCATCTTTGGATGCTGTCTTCTGTTTCCATCCATCCTCTCCACTGACACAGTACTCAGCAGAGTAGGTGATCTCTGCTCCAAATTTGGGTGGAGAAATATTCAGCGTCACACTGTTGTGGTTTATGTCACTTACTGTTCCTGTTTCAGGCTTTGAAGGTGGCTCAAAGTTCTCACTGACAGAAAAGCCGTCTTTATGAAGGTAGATGCTTGAACCTTTCTGTGCCTCATTTGTTAATCCCAAGGTCAAGAACTTAATGTTCTTGTTCTCCTTGTTGGCTTCTGCAAAATCACTAAAGAGCTTTGCTTTATGCCTCAATGTATCTACTACTTTGTTGGAAAGGAACCATTGTTCCTTCTCTACATCCTGAGTGTGAGCATCTTGAGAGTTGTCTGGTGTTTGTCTTAAGTAGTTTGATAAGGTTGAGAGGTACGATTCAGCACTTCACAATGAGGTGAAGACAAAACACACCACATGTTCTGCACTGAGACTTTCTTCATGAAGATCATTTTGAGATGGAACGATCTTTGTGTTTTTCATCATGTTGGTGAAAGACTTTAACGTGTTGATTTCTCTCTCTTTACAGTCCATCCACTCGCTCAGGTTGTTGCTGTTGAAAGGAGAAGAACGTCTTTTCTTCAGAATCTCTGCGAGCACAGCCTCCTCTTCTGAACTCAGAGCACATCTCTTTAAAGGTTTTAATCTTTTTGCAAATCTGTGGGAACTTCTGTGCAGTGGTGGTTCTCAATGCATCATTGCACCTCATTTCTAGCTCACTGAAGTCCTCAAGGACACTCTGGGATTCTTGAACTAATCTTAAACTTATCTGACGTACAAGTTTAGCAGCAGAAGAATCTAAACTTGTCAGTGGCAACAGCCAGACCTTCATTGGTACGGCGTTTTCTCCGTTGGCTCCCAACAGTCTTGGCAGACTTTGGTAGACTTCTACTGCATCCTGAAAGGGCACGGGATTCTTTTCAAGAGAAAAGTCTCCATGGAATTTGCAGGAGAATTTCTCAACATTTTCTCTGTCCTTGTATTCCATCTTCAGGGAACCTTCACCTTCTATCGAAATGCAGGGAATCTTCTTGATCATCACCTTCAAGTTACCCTGAATGTCTTGATGATCTTCCTTTTCCGACACCTCACGGTCAAAGACAAAGAAGGCTTGTGCCCCATAAAGAATACCGGTGACTACATGTGTTGCTAATCCTTTATCAAAGACATCCCGATGCTTCATATTGCCACTTCCAAGATGATTCATGGACAGTTCCTGGAACTTTGTGGTAGTTTTGTAGGTCAGTGTTACTCTGGCCTGATTTTTGGATGTCTTGTGATCATTCAGGTATTTGGTCGATCCTTCAACCTCCACCAGTCCACCCAAGAAACTTGCTTTCAGAGAGGCTTCAACCTTTAGCGCTGTAGATTTATCGTCAATTGAATCAGATGCAACTATCTCAAAGTCACTGCTAGGTTTTGGTCTCTCTCTTGTATCTTTTTCCAAGTCATCGCAGTCCCATAGTGTCATGCCTGCCAAAAAATAAGTGGGGAAGTTACTCATATATATACACATACTTTAGAATCATAATGTTTGACACACAAACACAGAGGTTATTAAATGACAGGCTCTTGTGTGTGTGTGCACGAGAGAGAGAGAGAGATACAGGATGTCTAACAATGCCTTTGACTGAATGCCTCCAAGTCATGTGTCTGTGTGGAAAGAGAGAGAGAGAGAGAGAGAGAGAGAGAGAGAGAGAGAGAGAG